CATCGCCCGCGCCCGACGGCACACCCCCACCCCCACTCCCCTTGCGCTCCGTCGCGCCGCCCGGACGCACTTACCTGGTGCGGCCCCGCTCCCTCCGGAGCTGCCCCTCCCGCTGACCCCCGCACGCACACCTCCCGCCGCCTCCCCCCAATCCTCGCGCTTGGTCCCCGTGCCGCAGGCAGCTCTCAATGCACAGCCTCCCGCTCGAGCCCGCGGCCGAGTGCGGCAGGGGGGCGGGGGGGCGCGCGTCGGCGCCGGCGGCGGCGCCGGCGGCATCGGCGCCGGTGGAGATCGCCGTCACCACCGGCGGGCCTCTCTAGCCGGCGCGCGGGTAAGGTCTGTGTAAAGCCGTAGCACGTACAGTAAGTTACGTGGTTAGAGCGACAGTGGCGCGGTCTGAAGTACGTGTGTGTGTTTCGTGTTGCGCGGACCGGGAATATGCACGCATACGTCAGTTACAGTACTCCATCTATGCGACGCTCTGCGCCTCTTGACTCATGTGTGCCAATTTGACCCTCTCTCTTTATAAAGCCGCACACAAAGCCGTGGGGTTTGTGTGTACTGTAAACGTACGGCTTATACGGGCCGGCGGCCTCCATAGCGTCCATACCAGCTCAGCAGCCGCAGTAGCCCGAGGAGCAGTCGCCGGTCTGCTCGCTGGTGGGAAGCTCCCACGGATCGGTCGAGTCCGAGCCCTCAGGGAAGAACTCGTTCGCGTAGCAGTCGTCCACAAAGTCGTGCTTGACGCAGATGTCGTAGTACGACTTGGTCGTGATGAACTTGTCGATGCACGGGTTGACAATCTTCGACAGCCCCGAGCCGCGCTTGGACATGGTGAGGGTCGTGCCGTTGAAGGCCGTCTCGAACATGCCGGTGTGGATGTAGGCGAACTTGGTGCCGAGCCCGCTCCACAGATCGCAGTCCCACGCGGGCTGCACGTCCTTGTCGGCGCAAGAGTACGTGTACGCCTGGTCGGCGTACACGAACATCGCGTCGGCCTCCCCATCGAGGAGGGTCTTGAGCGCGCGGTCGTTCTCGTTCTCGTACCTGAGGTAGTAGTAACAGAGTAGCAACAGAGCAGCCACGCGCGGAGGACAGGAATCCTTTCGCGGCGAGGGAACGGGTTGTATGAGGCGATGTTCTCTAGAGGGGTGGGACTCGGCAGTCAACGGCGGGCCACTCACGCTGCCAGAGTCTCTTCCGAAGGCGTCACCCACTCGTATCCCGAGAAGGCCGTGTTGCCCGTGCACGCGTTCTTGGTGACCTGGGTGGGCGAGCGGCGCGCAAATGCTAGTCGGGCAGCGCCGGGTTTGGGAGCGCGGGAGAGGGTTGAGTGGAGAGGGTTGAGTGGAGAGGGTTGAGTGGAGAGAAGGCGGCCGGGCCGAGCGTACCGCGAGGCCATCTTGGGTGGGCGCCCAACCGTTCACGTCGACGACCTTTCATAGGGAGAGGCGCAGAGCACATCAAATCGGGGTGCGCCAGTGGGGGGGGGGGGGGGGCGCCTTGAGACCGGAGAGGTCCGAGCTGGTGCTGACTTTCGGGGTGCCAGCCTCGTCGAGGGTGGTCAGGAGGCCGGCCGGCTTGTTGTTCTCGAGGATGGAGTGCGAGAACTCCATCCAGCGGGGGCGCGAGCCAATGGTGTGCGTGTAGGTCATGCAGCCGTGGTACACACCCGCCTTTGCGTCGGCCCCGATCTTGTCGTCGGACCAGCAGCCCGCCCACGTGGCTTGGGTCACTTCCACCTCAATGTCGCAGACCTGTTCGGGATGCATGGGCTGTGTGGACGCAGCTGTGCTGTGCGGACCCTCACTTTTCGGTGGAGGAGCCGAGGAGCGCGGCGATGCAACAGGCTGACACGGAGCACGCAGGGGGGTTAAGGGCCTCCGCAGTGGTGCGCACCTCCGACAGGCCCATGGCCACGTCCTTGCCGAAGCCAGCTACAGTGTAGTCTCCTTCTGGCGGCATCGCCAGATAGGCGTAGGGTGGCCAATCGACGTCTTGGGCGAGAAGGATGCTCGGCTTGGTGGTCCCGGGCATCTTGCCCGGGATGGGCGGCTCCTTGGCGGCCGTCTCGCACGTCGCGGGCATGCTGGAGAAGCCCAGCGCGGTGGTCGCGAGGAGAGCCGTCATTGAACTCGCTGACATACCCGGGTACCAGGGGGCAGGGTGGCGCCCCCGGGGGGGGGTAGGCGGCGACCGCCGCATACCGTCCTACAGCGGGGACTATCGCTACGCCAGGGAAGACAAGCAAGGACGTTGACGTGCAGCTGCTGCTGTTCGAATCGTTTGGCGGGAGGGGGGTCCGTGAGATCCTCCGGAAGGCGGCAGACGTGCTACAGAACACAAACAAGCTGACGCGGGCCCAGTACCTCGATGAGGTGACTTGGACCACTAAGAATTGGCTGGGGCTGCAGAAGCAGCGTATCTCGGTCGTTCTTCATACGGCAATCGCAGAGCAGATTGTGAATGAGCTTGCCTGCGGCGAGGGCGGTCGAGTCCACCGCCTGCTAAAGAAGCACAGCGATGAATGCGGCACCGGCGACGCATGGCAGGCTGGTCATGACGCAGTTATAGGGTGTTGTGTGCCGTCAGAGTGACTCTCTGTGTAGTCAGGGCCGTCCATCAGAGCTCCAGTAAGCTCGGAGACACCCCATTAGTGCGACTCGACCTCTTTGAGTCACTGCCTTCCCGGCGGTTTGGCTGTAGAGCCTCTACAACAAACTCTACAGCAAAATCGCGCTCTACATCGCTCTACAACGCACCCGCTTCGTCCCGCGGCGGATGTAGAGCTCTACAGCTCTACAGCGCTCTACATCTCTACAGCTCTACAGCGCTCTACACTCTACATCCTCTACACCCTCCCTCAGGGGGCCACCCCCCCTCACGGTTCCATCCTCGCCAAGAACAAAGACTGAAACCGTAAAAGGGGCGATTGCGCTTTATCGTGCGACCCCTCTACTCGGTATGCTGACCAAAGAGCCGAGCCAGCGTGAACCCAAGCCTTCGCGCCGAGCGGGCGCCACGACCTTACCTCATTTGCTGCTCCCCATGAAGGAAGGTTTGTGTGGGAAGCCAAGGGAGGTTTTTGGCTGCCCACGTTTGTGATGGGTCGAAATCGGCCCGCCGCGCGCCACATTTAGTGGTCGAAAGCAGGTCGAATCGCGAGAGAGAGACGCGAGGGCCCAAGAGGCCCTTGGGCTCGCCTGCAGAGCGTCTCTCTCTTGCCATTCTGCTGGTCTGTTTTGTGGCCTCTTCTCTCGTCTGTCGGTGTTTTGTCCCACCCTGAGCATTGTGTGGTCTGTGCTCTTCCCGCCCTGGGGTTGTGCTGTCTTCCTCCTCCTCCGCCGTGTGCCGGGGAGTCGATCAGGCAGTTCACTTCGGGGGCTACGGGTATCCCCCCTGGCTATACTTTGAGAGATTAGGCATCAAAGTGGTTCACAGTGGAGGCGGTCGCCGTCCTAGGTGGAGATCGCCGTCACCACCGGCGGGCCTCTCTAGCCGGGCGCGCGGGTCGTGTCTGTGTCGACACAAGTAGGTTTCTTACGTGGTTGGAGCGACAGTGGCGCGGTCTGAAGTCGTGCGGGATGCAGTAATCCAAGCCGTACGGCTTCGTCAGTTACAGTACTCGATGGACGATGCCCTTTGGGCCGACACGGTCGGTACCACAGTCACCGCATGCTCTGTGAGTGTGTCAGCGACGAGGCAAACAGTACAGTGCCGCGTACAGACAAAACCAAAATCCCTTCACTCAATCGTCAAGAGTAACGACAGCGCGGCTCACCTCAGGACGGCGCTTGCGCCCGCTTGCCTTGGCTGCCCCGCCGAGCTACCGCCGCCATCCACGCTCCGCCCTCAGCTCCTGCGAAGCAGACAGCACCGCATTGCTGTTCTGCTTCACAGCCGCAATCACCACTTCGCGGTCCGACTTTAGTTCCTGCGAGGCGTACTGCAACGCCAAGCCGTCCTGCTTCACGGCGGCCAGCACGACCTCGCGGTCCGCCCTCAGCTCGTGCGCGGCGTCCTGCAGCGCCTTGCCGCGCTGCGTTACGGCGACTAGCATGAACTCACGGTCCGCCCTCAGCTCCTGCGAGGCGTGCCGCAGCGCCCAGCCGTCCTGCTGCACGGCGGCTAGCACCACCTCGCGATCCGCCCGCAGCTCCTGCGAAGCGTACTCCAGCGCCATGCCGCTATGCTGCACGGCGGCCAGCACCACCTCGCGGTCCGCCCTCAGCTCCTCCGAGGCGTGCTTCAGCGCCCTGCCGTTCTGCTGCACGGCGGCCAGCACGACCTCGCGGTCCGACTGAAGCTCTTCTGAGGCGTGCCGCAGCGCACAGCCGCTCTGCTTCACGGCGGCCAACACAACCTCGCGGTCCGCCTTGAGCTCCTGCGAGGCGTACTCCAGCGCGCCATCGTCCTGCTGCACGGCGGCCAGCACGACCTCGCGGTCCGAAGAAGCCCACAGCCAGAAACCGAGGTGCCTCAGCCTGTCACCGATGCGCTGCGCGATCTCCGCCACACTGCCCTGCTTGGTGACGCAGACCAGCTCACACAGCGCCTCGAGCTGTGGCACGCCCAACCCGCCGCTCTCGCGCAGCCGCCTCGCCAGCGCCTGTGAGTCGCCGGACGTCGGCAGCCCCTTCTCCTCGCAGAGCGGCTTGAGCCGGCCAAGCGGCAGCAACCTGGTTTGTGGAGCTCCCGCACCTGTTCTGACAGAGACCTGGCCGTTCTGACAGCGTTCTGACAGCGTTCTGACAGCGTTCTGACAGCGTTCTGACAGCGCAAAATCCTCCCCTCTCTTCACAGCTCAGGGGTTCTGACGTTCCCAGTTGCCCCGCTCCTTCCCTCTTCCTGTCTTGAAGTCTCCCTCCGAGCCACGGACGGACTCAACACACACACACAGCACGTCCTCCCAAGCGCCAAGGCGACACTCTCACGTTGAGGCGTACGTAGGCCCTGTTCTGACACAAACTTGGTCCCCGTTCTGACACAAACTTCAACTTTCAACTTCGAGTCCAAGTTCGCCTGTTCTGACAATCTGTTCTGACAATTTAAAAAGAAATGCATCCCACCAAGCGGGAGCGCAAACAGCTGTAACCGTCGACAGGAGCACGCCAAGGCCGCCATCATGCCGGGGCCTCGAGGCAGCAAACGCGCTCTTGCGATGGTCTGCGGCGCAGGCTGGAGCCCCGCGACAGAGCCGAAGAAGCTGCGGCCCGGCAGCAGCCTCCCTGGGGGGTCTCAATGGATGCTTGGGGGCTTCCATGGATGCTGGGGGGTGGGGGGTGGGGGGTGGGGGGCACCGAGGCGCAGCCCCGCCCGAAGGCCGCGCAACGATTCACTCAACGCGAGTGCGAAACCCGAGGGCCGGGCTCTTCTTTTGAGAGATTTTGGAAAACCAACAAGAAATTCTCTTTCTGCTTGGTGTCTAAAAAGAAAGAAAAAACAGATACCTTTTGTGTGTGCGCCTCGCTATTTTTCTTTCGCGAATGGTGCGCCTCACTCAAAAAGAAAGAAAGAAAACAGACAAAACAAAAGTGCGCGGGGCGCTGTTTCTTTGTTTGGCATCCCGGCGGGGCGGCCGCTACAAGACTGGCAGGTGCAAGAACCACAAGTGCTGGCGCGAGGCGATTCGGTTCGTCGCAGTCAGCCAGGAGGGGGCTGGCGCCTTCCTGAATGCGATCCCCATGCGGGATGATATGAAGATGGAGACGTGGGCGATGCGCATTACAGTTCAGCGCCGCCTCGGCCTCCCGCTCGATGTTGCCTGCCAGGCGGTGGAGGCGGGCAAGAAGGCGCCAAACGGCAAGCCGCACGAAGAACTCGGCGATGCCGCAATGGTCAACCCGCGTGCGAAGCACGCGACACGACACAAATACCTGCTCAAACGACTCGTCAAGACCCTTCGCTCGGCGTGGGGCATGCTCATCGAGATGGAGCCGACTGCACACCTCAGTTACAGTAACCCAAAACAACCTGACGTGGCGGCGGCGAACATCGGCAAAGGGCATGTGCGCCTCGTTGGCGACTTGAAACTGACGAGCTCGCTTGCGTGCAAGGGTGGCGATCGGCTCGGCTGGAAGGGGGCTTTTGTCGCCTTCGGCAACACCGAGCGGGCGCTGCTCGACTTAGTGTTAGGGCATGCTGCATGGCCGCGGCCGGGAGGGGGGGGGGAGGGGGGGAGGGAGGCGGAGGATGCAGAGGCGGAGGCGGCGGCGGCGGAAGAGGAGGAGGGGGAGAGTGAGGGGGAGGCGGAGGCGGGGGCACCTGTGACGGCCCGCTACGAGAAGGGCGAATACCGGTTCGCGCGGGAGAAGAATTGCGACCTGCGTTTGCTCGACTTCGAGACGTTCGGCGGCTTCGGGGACGGCGTCCGCAGAATTCTTCGGCAGGCGGCGGACCAGCTGAGTAACAAACTTTCGCACGCTCAGCACCTCGATGAGGTCACATGGACCACCAAGAACTGGCACGGGCTGCAGATGCAGCGCTTGTCTGTCGTTCTCCACACCGCCGTGGCGTGGCAGACGGTGAACGAGCTAGCGTGCGGGGACAGCGGCATTGTGCACGGAGCTAAGTGCATTGCCGTTCTTAACGGAGTCGCTTAGGCGGCTCCGGTGGTGTGCCGGTGATAGTACTAGCACGCGCCAGTTCGCACCTGTGTCGAGCCTGTCTGCTGTGAGAGAGAGTTCTTTTGTTTAAATTCTTTGTTTCAATGGTGGAGCTGGAGCGGCCTTCGCGGCAGCGGCTCCACCTCCGCCGCGGGCGACGGCGGCGGCCGCGAGCCGCCCCCGCCCTCCCCGCAGCCATGCCGGCACCCAGGCTGGCCGGCCTGGCCGCCGCTCCACCATTTCGACCGACCTGCTCCACCTCGCCGCCGTGCTCCAGCTCCGGCGCTCCAGCTCCAGCTCCACCTACCTGGACTGGGCAAGGACTCACGACCTGACGCCCTCTTCTGCTCCCGCGCCAAGCACTCGCCGATGAGCGGTGCGCCGCGCCGCGTGCCCTGGCCCAGCCTCGCCGCGCGCCCTCCCCCGCCCTCCCACCCCTCCCTCCCTTCCTCCCTTGCCTCCGCCGGGCGCCGCCGCTGCGCTCTGCGCACACAGAGTCACCCTCCCGTGCCTGGACGCGGAGCCTGCCTGGCCCGCGCGGAGGCGACTGCGGGGGCGAGCTCGCTCCGATTCTCCCTCCCTCCCCCTTGCCTTCTCCAGCCCCCTTGCCTTCACCAACCCACGCCGCCGGCTTAGGAATGTTCAACGCTAAAGATCTCTCCAACGTTAACGTCACGCCGGGCCCCCACGTCGTCCCGGCTCCTGCCGTCGCAGGCGCAGCCGCGCCGTCCTTCCCCACTCCGCCGCGGCTCGTCCCCCCGCGCCCCACGCAAGCCAACGCCATTCCGGCCCGAACCGCACAGGCACGATGCAGGGCATCTTTCAGAGCCCCAACGGCGACATGAACCTCAACATCACCGGGACTTTCTACGTCACCGAGCCGCCCGAGGAGACAAAGCAGGACGGGCTGGCCGAGACGCCAAACAACAACAACCCCGCCCCGCACGTGCCTGGACGCGAGAATTTCGGCAAGGGCGGCGCGAAGCGCCACCGCAAGGTGCTGCGCGACAACATCCAGGGCATCACCAAGCCCGCCATCCGCCGCCTCGCTCGCCGCGGCGGCGTCAAGCGCATGTCCGGCCTCATTTACGAGGAGACGCGCGGCGTCCTCAAGGTGTTCCTCGAGAACGTGATCCGCGACGCGATCACCTACACCGAGCACGCGCGCCGCAAGACCGTCACCGCCACGGACGTCGTCTACGCGCTCAGGCGCCAGGGCCGCACCCTGTATGGCTTTGGCACGTAATCCTGCTTCGTTGCGCCTCACTGTCTCCGCCTCACAAGCGTGTTTTCGGGCGAGCTGTGTGTGAGCGGGCTCGGCTGCGGGCTGGCGCCGCGGTGCCGCGTGGGGCGTGCCGCTGCCGGCAGGTGCAGCCGCGAGCCCGGGTGTGCGCGCGGTGGCGGAGGTAAGGTCTAGGTAAGGTAAATTTCTCCACACACACAACGTGGTGGGGCTAGGGGGGGCGACCCTCGCATCTCCACACCCGGACACGGGCAGGAGCCCCACGGCACCTAAAAGTGCAAGCTCAGCAAGCAGCCCGAGAAATGAGAAAAGCGAGAAACTCTCAAACTCTGCGAGAGAAGCTCACCCCCGGCCCGGAAGAACGCGGCGCGTGAGGGGCAAACGGAGGGACAGCCGACACAGGGTCGGGCCCCCACACAAAAGCATACGGGTCACGATATACTAGAGGCGCGAGGGACTTTCGACTTAGTGCTTCTGCCGCTTGAGGACGCGTGCAACCGTCGCGCCCTCCTCGCCGTCCTCGCCGTCCTCCTCCTCCTCGTCCGGATAGAGGTCGTCGACTGGCTCAACTTGGGCTATGATTTGCTCCCAGACGGTCGGCTCAGAGGGCCGGCTCGTCAGAGGGCTGGCTCCGGTAAACGCGGGGGCGGACGGCCTTAGGTCCTCCGCCTGCTGGATCAGCTGCGACTCAAAGGCGATCTTGGCCAAGTCCCGGAGGGACGGGACGGGGAGCGGCAGCGTGATCGGAGGCGGGGCGGCGCCGAAATGCTGCGCGGTGAGGCCCTCGGCCAGCGCCCAGTAGCTCGGCGTGGTGGCCAGCCCTGGCGTGTAGCTGGCGATGGCGACGAGCTGCCCGAGGTGGTTGAAGAGGGGCTTGCCGCTGTCGCCAAAGGTGAGGGCCAGCTCATCCGACTTGACGAGGCCGCGGGCGGTGTAGACGCGCCCTGCGGACTCGTGGTAGCGCTGGCAAATGTCCGTGTAGCCCTCGGTGAAGGCGACGCCGGTCTGTCGAGAGCAGACCGATTCCTCAGCAGAGAGGCGGGAGGAGGGCGCAGCGGCATGAGGGGCGAGTCTCACCAGCGTGGAGGCGCGAGCGAGGGCGCAATACGCGAAGGCGGGGAAGAGGTCGGCCGAGACAATGCGAAGGATCGCGAGGTCAGGGCGACAGCGCAGCCGGTCGGGTGGCGTGATCAGCTCTGCCTCGTACATCATGACGCCGGGCCGGTCGGCGACGCGGAAGATCACGTGGAGCGCCTTGGACTGGGCGTCAATGATCGCGTGGGCGACCGTGAGCATGAGGCCGTCGTCGGAGATGATGTTGCCGTGCCACGTCCCCAGGACCTCGCCGGTCTCGTAGTCGATGGCATAGATGAGCTTGGTGGAGGACATCGCGACTGCGAGGGGGAGGGCGAGGAAGGGATGGGTCGTGAGACAGACGGTGGGTGGGGTGAGGAAGGGATGGGTCGCTGCGATGAGACACAGCTGCGGAGCTCCGGCGAGAGCGCGACGAGGCGAGGGCACGGCGCACCGAGGTACGCTGGCAGAGGCTGAATGGAACAAGCAGAAATGGAGCTGGAGCGCCGGAGCTGGAGCAGGGCGGCGTGGTGGAGCAGGTCGGTCGGAGTGGTGGAGCGGCGGCCAGGCCGGCCAGTCTGGGTGCCGGCATGGCTGCGGGGAGGGCGGGGGCGGCTCGCGGCCGCCGCCGTCGCCCACGGCGGAGGTGGAGCTGCCGCGAAGGCCGCTCCAGCTCCACCATCGAAACAAAGAAACCCGCAGAAGAAAACCAGCCGAAAGAAGAAAATCCGGTGCGACCGTACCGAGCACAGATCACAGAAATGCTCGCAGTGGGAGTCAGAAATGTGGTCCTTGCGCGAGGAATGCTCGATAAACTCGAGGGACCAAAATACGCGGAGAGGAGAGCGGAGTTACGCAGAAAGGCGAGAGAAGCAGCGAGAGCAAGAGATCGGCAGACGACAGCGGCGTCTCAGAACGAGGCCGAGGAGAGCGATGAGTCAGGGGAAGAGACAGCAGGAGAGAGAACGACGAGAGTGAGAAGAATGCGAGGTGGCATGAAGGTCGCTGCAAGAATTGGTGATAAACTGCGGAGAGAGATAGGAAGTGGTAGACGCCCGAGGGTGGGCGACGGCTAACACCACACTTCTCCCCTAAAATCCCTGTGTGGTGGCGGCGTACCGTCCTCCCATCCCTCCATTGGGTTGTCTGTTTTCTTTCTTTCTTTAGATCACAGAAAGGGCTCCAGGCCCCAAATGACGTGTGAGTGTTAGAGTTGTTTGGTATTGCTAAAAATCTCTCTCTCAGAAAGGGCTTAAAAGCTCGCAAAAACACTTTAATATCCCCCAGGGTGCCCAAAGTCGCCCTCGAACGCCTCGCGGTCGCGCTGGGCCGTCCGGGCCGCAAGAACCGAGCCCGATCAGGGCACGCTTACTTGGGAGAACTAGCGAAAAAAGAAATTACTGGTCGGCTCTGTTGAGGGCGCCGAGTTTGCTGGCATCCTCGAAGCATGGCTGAACTGTGGCTGCCGCCGCTTCAGGCGTCAGGGCCGCAGTCGGGCCAAGAGCCACATCCAGACTACATGCCCGGCGCTGCACCGGCCGGAGCTGCTGGGTCAAGCGCGGACCAGGGCGATCTTGGTGATTCAGGCATAACTGTGCAGGAGGCGCTCGATACGCTAGGGGTGGATGAGGCGCTCAATCTCCTGCGACCTCCGGAGTTTGACTTTCTCGACGCGCCACCGCCGCCGCCGGACGGCAAGACGTACTGCTGGGGCGGGATCCTGGAGGGCGTGGTGTGTCCGAACCACGTCGACAAAAAGCAGTCGGGCAGGGCGTGCTACTACTGCGCCGACCACAAGAAGGTGAAGTTTGTGCGGGTGCCGCTGGATCGCGTGCGGATAACGCATGCGCGCGATGCAATGCCTGACTCCTGGAAGGAGGCCTGGACGAAGGCCAAGGACTACACTGCCTACGGCCACTTGATGCCGTACAAGCTGGTCGCACTGCCGTTAGAGGAAGCGCAGACCGGCGGTGGCGGCGGCGGCGGCGGCGGCGGCGGCGGCGGGAGAGGCGGCGGAGACGGAGGCGGCGGCGGCGGCGATGGCCGCGGCGGAGGCGGCGGCGGAAGCAGCGGCAGCGGCAGCGGTGGAAGCGGCGGTGGCAGCGGCGGTGGCAGCAGCAGCGGCGGCGATGGCGGCGACGGCGGCATCGGCAAGCTGTTCAACGCTTGCGCGAGGAAGAAGCCGGGGCCCGCGCTCCTTGTCACTCCCCATGCCTGCGGCGAGGCGGATGTGCAAGCGCTGATCGACGGGGGGTGCCCGGCGTCATGGTTTGAGGGCGGGTGCTTGGTTCTCGTATGGGGCGGGAGTGCGCGCGACTTGCAGCCGCGCGACGAGGCGGCCGGCTCTCACAGGTCTGCGCAAACGGACGGCGCAGGCCCGAGCAGCGCAGGCCAGGCGGGCGGCGGCGGCGGCGGCCGCGGCTCGGCGAGGCAGCCCGGCGGGGGCAAGCGCAAGGCGCCAGCCTCAAAGGCGCGAGCCAAGCGCGCCCGGAGGAGCGGCGGCGGCGGCGGTGGCGGCGGCGACGGCGACGGCGACAGCAGCAGCGACAGCGACGGCGCGACATCGCGCGTTCTCGTCCCGCACGAGTCGACCACCGCCAGCGTCGGGTCGTCCGGCGGGCCGCAGCAGCAGCCGTCGCTGTCGGCGACGTTCACCGTGCAGGACAAGGACTTGCTGGGTCTCCTCGCGAGCTGCTTGCGCATGGCCAACCCGGCTCCGTTCGCGGGCATGGCGCAGGGCAAGAGGGGCTTGCGCCTTCTCTTGCACAACCCGGCACCGCGCAATCTCGGTTTGTCGGAGGAGGATGCGCTGGGGCTGCTGGACTGGCAGCGCCAGACCCTACGACTCTCGGCCAGCAACGGCGCGTCGGCGGAGTTCGCTGCTGCCATTCGGACGATGCTCGACGTGTATCTTTGCGAGGCACCGGACGAGGAGTCCATCGATGCCTCCGGCTTGTCGGTCGAGTGGAAGGGCACTCGCTTCACCCTCCGGCTGGACGACGAGAAGCGGCCTCTGCCGTCCGCGCCGGGGGAGCGCGAGGCGCTGCGGGCAAGGCTTGAGGGTGCGCTCCAGGCGTGTCCTCAGATTGCCGTGGACCTGAAGGTCACACTGATCGAGGGGGGCTCGATCCTCGTCCGCTGCCGCTGCCGCGCGTCCGAGATCCCCGCGGCGATCCTCGCGCTGTCGGGGGGCACCTTGTGCGAGTACCCGGTCGTCGCTTTCGACGACGGCACGCCGAGCCCGCGGGTCGACAACTACGAGTTCGACGTCCGCGCGCCGGTGCAGGCGCTGCAGGCGTTGCGAGCGCTCGTCGAGCCGGCCGGGGCGCTGCTTGGGCCGGTGCAGCCTTTGCCGCCGGAGGAGCGTGGGGAGGAGGGGGAGGAGGAGGAGAGCGAGGAGGAGAGCGAGGAGGAGAGCGAGGCGGAGGAGGAGCCGGGTGCGCGCTGCCACGCCCCCCGCCGCACCATGTCCCCACAGAGCAGTCTCTGACCGCCGCCCCCCCCCACCCCA